AAGAACTTGATTTCATTTATCATCGGGGAACTATGAATTGAAACCATAATGTGATACCCACCAGGATGACTAAAATAGAAAAGACAGAAATTACCAAGAAAGGCAAGGGTGTGCAGCAATCACATATGCTTCTCGGGTACATAACTTAGAAACTGTCAATATTTACTTAAGCCCTATGCCCATGCTATGACCAAGCAATTCCCCTCCTAGATATATATACTCAACAGAAATGCATACATTCATTCAACAAATGACATGTACTAGAATGTTCATAGCAGCACTATTCACGATATCCCCAAACTGCAAACAGCCCAGATGCCAGTCATGTAAAATGGATATCTACGCTGTGGATAAACACATGATGGAATATATACAGCAATGAGAAAGGACAAACCACAGCTACACTCAGAACTATAGACAAATCACACATCTGTACGGTTGATGGCAAGAAGCTTGACATAAAAGAGTCCATACTATATGATTCTATTGATGTAAAGCATGAAAACAAGTAAAATGAACCTATTGTGTTAGAAATCAAGATAGATAGTGGTCCTCCTTGGGGGTGGGACACAGGAAGGCGATTCTGGAATGTTGGAAAAGTTGTTTCTTGTTCTGAGTGTTGGTTATATGCGTGTTCAGCCTGTCCAAATTCATGGAGCTATACACTTAATACGTGTGCACCTTTAAACATTTATGCTATATCTCCATAAGGATTGCCTGGGTGGCTCAGTTAGTTGGGCTTCCGACTCTTGATTTTGGCTCACAGTTCATGAGATCGAGCCCGATGTCGGGCTCTACTCAGACATCACAGAGCCTGCTTGGGATTCTCTTTCACCCTCTCTGTTTGCCCCTACCCTGCACATGCGCAAATGCTCTTTCTCTCTCAAAATAAATAAATAAACTGTATTTTAAAAAATTAAAAAGTGTTTAAAAACATACTTTCAAAAATACGTGTAAATATATAAGCACTATTTATGGGTGGCCCATAAGTAAAAACAAACAGAAATAGAACAAAAGAAACCCACTGGGAATCACAGTGGAAAACTTTAACACAACTTTCAGAATCAACAGGTCAAACAGAGGAAAAGGAGACACAGAACATAATTTGTAATTAATAATTTGAAATAAATCTACAATTTGATGCAGAAAAATGTCACAAAAACACACAGCTCATTAGATTACAAACTAATTTCTGTTTTCTCATCTCCATCTTTCTTTTAGCAATATGGTACACTAGAGATCCAAAAGCCTTCCAGCCACAAAACATCTTTAAAAACTGCTAGGGGAAAACAAAACAAAACGAAATGAAACAAACAAACAAAAACTACAACAACTCTGAAATCAATGGACTAGAGAAACCTAGTGAAGCCAAAATTCAAGAGTGCAGGCAAAATAAAGGCATCAGATATTATAAAAACAGAGAATGCATCATCACTGAAGGAACTTCTAAAGAATGTGCTTCAGAGGTGCCTGGGTGGTTCAGTCGGTTAAGTGTCCGACTTCGGCTCAGGTCATGATCTCACAGTTCGTGGGTTTGAGCCCCGTGTCCAGCTCTGTGCTCACCGCTAGCTAAGAGCCTGGAGTATGTTTCAGATTCTGTATTTCCCTCTCTCTCTGTATCTCCCTCTCTCTCTGACCCTCCCCTGCTCACACTGTCTCTCTCTCAGAAATAAATAAAACATTAAAAAAAATTATTTAAACAGAATGTACTTCAAGGAGAAGAAAAATGATTCAAAGAATAGCTGTGATATAAGAAGGAATGGAGAGTGAAGAAAATAGGCAAACAGGTAGATAAGTCTAATAAGTATTGACCCAGTATTGACCCAGAAAATCAGTATAATAATATCAGCAAAATGTCCAATTTAAAGGATTAAAGTAATAACAAAGCTTAATGTCAAACGGGAGGTAACTGGAGTGAAAATATTAGAAGTCCCTTTACATAAGCGATCTAAGCCTTCAAATTCAGAAGGCTAGAATTTGCAAAAATAAACTCAAATTGAGTAGAAAGATTAAGAATATAAGTTAACAGGGGCGCCTGGGTGGCTTAGTCGGTTAAGCGTCCGACTTTCGCTTAGGTCATGATCTCACCGTTCGTGGGTTCGAGCCCCGCGTCGGGCTCTGTGCTGACTGCCAGCTCAGAGCCTGGAGCCTGTTTCAGAGTCTGTGACTCCCTCTCTCTCTGACCCTCCCCTGCTCACACTGTCTCTCTCTCTCTCTCTCCTAGAAATAAATAAAACATTAAAAAAAAAAGAATGTAAGTTAATGATGTAAGAAAAATAAAATTAACAGGATTAATCAATAAATCCAGACCTGGCTCTTTGGAAAGATAATAAAATAAGCAAGCAAAAAGCAAGGCCGACCGATACAACAAAGAGAAAAGGTGCATACACAAGAGTGTGAACGAGACAAAGAACATACCATAAACGTGGAAGAGCTACTTTCCTATAACAGAAGATTATATGCAACATTATGCTAACACACATTAAATTTCAATAATGTTAATGATTTTCTGGGAAGATATAAAGTATTAGGTTGACTTTGGAGAAAGAGAAAACCTGAGAAAAATCAGGGGTGCCTGGGTGGCTCAGTTGGTTAAGTGTCTGACTTCGGTCACTGATCTCATTGTTTGTGGGTTCAAGCCCTGCGTCAGGCTCTGTGCTGACTGCCAGCTCAAAGCCTGGAGCCTGCTTCAGATTCTGTGTCTCCCTCTCTCTCCGACCCTCCCCTGCTCACACTGTTTCTCTCTCTCTCTTTCAGAAATAAATAAAACGTTAAAAAAAAATTTTGTTTAAAGAAAGAAAACCTGAGAAAAATCAATGATCGTGGAAAAAATAGGAAAGATAGTTAAGTATTGATATCAGCTTCTTAAAAATTATGATCACCAGCAGCCCAGGCAGCCTGCAGTCAGATTCTGCCAAACTTCAAGGAACAGATAAATCTGCTCCACAGCAGAGAAAATGATGGAAAACTTCCCAACTGAATCAGTGAGGACAGCATAATCAGCATAATTATAAACTCAGACCCCCAAAAAAAGGGGGGGGCAGGGGGCAGGAGGAAACAGTTACCGATCTTACTTATAAATATAAATACTAAAACTATACTTAAATGTTAGCTTATTGAACCTATCAAACAACCCAAAAGTTCAGGGTTTTAGAGACAGAAAATCTAGCAGTATAATCAGCGATGCTATCAGTTTTAAGAAGAAAACTACACAGTCATATCGATACACGCAATACAAAAGCACTTGTGAGAGGGAGGAATCAACACCAGCTCTTAACTTTTTAAACTCTTAGTAATGAGGCATAAATGACAACTAACTTAATTTGGTAAGAATATATTGGGCGCCTGGGTGGCTTAGTTGGTTAAGCGTCCGACTTTCGCTTGGGTCATGATCTCACAGTTCGTGGGTTCGAGCCCCGCGTCGGGCTCTGTGCTGACTGCCAGCTGAGAGCCTGGAGCCTGTTTCAGTCTGTGACTCCCTCTCTCTCTGACCCTCCCCTGCTCACGCTGTCTCTCTCTCTCTCCTAGAAATAAATAAAATATTAAAAAAAAAAAGAATATATTTAGCACAGATCCCATTGGATCCCTCCCCCCAAACCAAGCCCAAAACAAGCTGTCCTATTTAACCTCAATAGCCAGGACTGTAGAGAGAGAGTGGTCAATGCAAGATAAGAAATAAGAAAGTGCAAATATTGGTAAGAGACATCTGCTCCTTTTTAAACAGATGATGAGACAGTATTTAACCTAACCCCAACCAAACAAGTCAACTGAAAAACTATTAAAACTGATTAAGAGTTTGGTATAAAGGCTCAGCTTCAGATCTCGCCTAAACTACCAAAGTAAAGGCGCTTGCTTTCTCAAAGGTACTCATGCAAAGTTATTTTCTGTAGACTAAGGCATTAAGGTTGGCAAAGTTGCTCGCTCTCTCCTCCCCCATCTTAAACGTTGCAACAGCTTCGTGTTTGCAACCGGATAACAAAAATCTCCTCAAACCAACATTTGTCCTCAAGGGCTGAGTTGGGCCTCCACTGGAAAACACTTTATCTCCTGCCTCCAGCTACCGCAGTTACTAATGGATAAGCATGTCAACCAGTCCAACATAATTCTTCCGATAGAGGGCAAGGAAGAGCACCTTCGCAGGAATTTTTTTTTTTTCAAGCCTTAACACTGCTTATTATATAAACTTACGTGCTGGCGATGGCAGCTCGCGCAAAATAAAAATTAGGATATTCAGGATCCAACTTCCTTTTTAAAAAAAATAAGAAGAACCTAAAACTCATTTTATTTCCAACTCATCTGGGAAGGAGGTTGTTTCGTGCACTCCTGGCAGGCTCCGCATCACCGGGCCACCCCCCAGCATCCAAGCGGTCTCCCAGGGCTCACAGGTGCGCTGCGCTGTGGCACCGCCGGCTGACCCCGGAGACGCACGGCCAGCGGCTTCGCCGGTCACCCCAGGCCAACAGGGGGGCCGGAGCTCTGTGGACGCGGAAGATGGCCAAGGACTACTCGGTCCCCGACACACACAGCATCCCCAGGACAGGACCAGGAAAGGGGCGGGAGGCTCCGGGGACCCGGGGAGCCCCGGGCGGGCGTGCCCACGCACCTGTCCCACCGCGGCCAGGGTTGGGGGCGCCTCTCTGGGCCGCGGTCCTCGGGAGTCACCTGGCCCTCTGTCCCGGGCTCCTGCGCCAACCCCTGGGGCCCGGAGGGGCGGGGGGCGGCCCCCCGCCGCTGCCACCTGCGGCACCAGTCCCGCAGTTCCCGGGCTTGGTGCACAGGACGGAGCGGGAGGTCGGTCCCGGGCTGGGGGCGGGACCCGCCGGGCGGAGGGGGACCCAGACCACCGCGGCGACAACGGCAACGGCGCGTCTTCCCTCTCGGACGGACAGTCCTGCGCCCCGGCGCCTGGACCCTCGGACCCCCGGGTTCGCCCGCCCGACCCGGGAAGACGACGCAGCTGAGGCGCAAAAGAGCCGGCGACGAGCGTGGCTCCCACTCACCGGCTCCGCTCGCTCCCGCCGCGCCGCCGCAGCCCGCAGCCGCCGCGGCTCCCAGAGCTCACGGATGCTCCTCGAACGGTCCCTGGGATCCTACCCGCGCCTCCTGCCGCGGTCTCCAGGGGGCGGGCGCGAGCCGGCGCGGGGCATCCTGGGAGATGTAGTCCCGGGGCCCCTGCAGAGTCACCCTCCGCCGCTCTCCATCCACAGATTGGCTTCCTCTCTGTCTCCGTCAAGGGCTCACCTCCGCTTCTGACTAATAAATGTTGGAGCGCGCCAGTCGAGCCCCGGCCTCCTCTCCTGGCTCTAGATCAGTGGTTCTCAAAATGTGGTACCGGGACCGGCAATTTCAGCATCATCTGGGAACTTGGTAAAAATGGCAATTCTCCATCACAGGGAGGCTATTAGGTTTTTCCTGTATTAAAAATTGGGGGGTGGGACCCAGAAATCTGCATTTTGAAAGCCCTTCAAGTGATTATAATTGCTCTCCACACCATCGCCCCTTGCCAAGGTACTTAACATTACGCCTGTGGCGTTACACCCATATACATACACCTGTATGTTCCCAGGTACACTGGGGGAGACCCAGACAGTTTATGTCCTAACCCAGACCTCCCCTCTGACCCCAGGCCTCATTGTCTCAATATCTACCCAACATCTCCTCCAGGATGCCTCTGAGACACCTGAAATACAACTGGGTCACCACCAAATTCATGATCTTTACTTCCTTCCGTCTATTTCTCCTCCACTGTGCCTATGGCCACAGGCTGAAAACTTCCCACTGCATTTATAGACATGGAAGTCACTTAAAACCGTAGTGAAAGCTACAGGGGTGCAATGCCAAGAGCCCTGAGTCATATTTGAAGGCGAGAAGATCAAATGAGGAGAGCGGAATAGAGGAGGCAGGAAGAATAACCAATTCTTGCAAGATGTGGTGGGGAAAGGAAGAAGCGTTATTGGTGGTTGGGGACGAAAGTGTGGCTGAGGAAGGATTTTTTTTTTTTAAGATGTTTAAATATTTATGAAAAGAATCCAGTTGAGAGAGAGCTTCTGACTATACAGGAGAGGAAAGGATATTTCATACTGTATGATTCCTGAAAAGATTGTATATATGTGAGAGTGGAGGTAAAGTCCCAGGCACAAGTAGAGGGATGGGCCTAGACTAGTGTTTCTCAACCAGGGGTGATTTACCTCCCACCCCAACCCAGGAAAGTGTGCTAATGTCTGGTGACATTTTTTGTCATGACTGGGGGTGCTATTGGCATCTAATGGGTAGAGGTCAGGGATGCTGCTAAATACTGCTAAATATCCTGCAATGCACAGCTCCTCATACACACACACACACACACACACACACACACACACACACACACACACCAAAGAATGTTCCAGCCTAAAATGTCAGTGAGGCTGAAATTGAGAAATCCTGGCTTGGACAGCAGCCTGTTCTGTTGTATGAGCAGGAAGAAAGAAAGAAGAGTTTTCTCTGGAAAGGAAGAAAGGAAGTTGTCTATGAGGATAGATAGGTGTGGTGTGTGTGTGTGTGTGTGTGTGTGTGTCTGTGCGCGCCCACACGCACACATGCGTGTGTGTATGTTTATCAAATGCTGAATCATGGGATCTAAGCTGCATAACAAGAGATGTATAAGAGGGAGAGAAATGAATGGTGGGGAAGAAGTAGTGGGTTCAACACACGGAATTTTGATGGGGGTCCGAGATTTATTTATTTTACTATAAGGAGCTTCTGGAAAGAAAATAGAGACCGTTGCTGATGACCAGGTCAGGATGTGAGGATGGATGGCTAACGTGGAGTGCGGGCAGGGCCACCAAGCACCCTTATGTAGTTTGCGCAGCGAGCAGCACAGCCCTCCAGGAACAGTGGGGTGTATAGAGGAGCTGGGGTCATACACGTGGGTGTGGAAACAGCCATACACACGGCAGAACACTTTTTGCATCACTGTGAGTGATGTCTTTGGTGAATAAGAAAATAGCGAGGCGGGGCACCTGGGTGGCTCAGTTGGTTAGGCGTCCAACTTCTGCTCAGATCATGATCTCATGGTGCGTGAGTTCGAGTCCTGCATCGGGTTCTGTGCGGACAGCTCAGAGCCTGGAGCCCGCTTCAGATTCTGTGTCTCCCTCTCTGCCCCTCCCCTGCTCATGCTCTGTCTCTCTTTCCCTCAAAAATAAACATTAAAAAATAAATACATAAAATGATCTTTATAAATAAATAAATAAATTTTAAGAGAGGGCGGTAGAGTTTTAAAACTTCCAGGGATTAGAGTCTTTTGTTTCTGATCGGGTCATTAAAGTTTAGTTTTGTTTCATTGTGATCAGAGATGGGAGATCAACATTGTCTGTACTACTTTGCCTCTTTTAAATCCTTGAATTTTCTTTGTGATCTAAACTAGGGTCAATTTTTGTGAATGCTTTAAGGGCCCTGGAGAGGAATGCATATTCCATTTTTGGCATACAGATTTTAATACATATCAATGAAATATAACTTATTAACTGTGTCGTGTGGGCCTTCCATATTCTTACATGTATTTTGCCCTAATATAATCTGAGAGAAGTAATTAAAACCTTTGCGCTCTCTGGGCACCTCGCTGGGCTGGTCGGTTGAGTGTCTAACTTCAGTTAGAATATCCGGGTTCATGAGTTCATGAGTTCGAGCCCCGTTCAGGCTCACTGCTATCAGCACAGACCCCCGCCCCCCTTCAGATCCTCTGTCCCTCTCTCCTCTGCCCCTCCCCCACTCATGGTCTCTCTCAAAAATAAAATAAACATTAAAAAAACTTACTACTATTGTGTTTTATTTCTCCTTATTTCTGTGGAGTCCTGCTTTATAAACGATGATACTATATTATCTGTGCACAAATATCCTTACAGTCTTGTGAATCGTCTCTTTAAATTATAAAATGACTTCTGTCTCATTTGATGTTTTTGACCTTTGCCCTGAATTTAACCTTGTCCACTGTTATGACAAGCCTTCTAAATTTTGTTTGCCATTAGCCCAATATAGCTTTGCCCTTCTGTTTTCATCTTTTTGGAAGCCTTTGTTCTTGGCAAGTCGCTTGAATCGAACACCAAGTTTTGTTTTGTGATTTAATCTGAAAGTCTTTTTTTCTTGGAATAGATGGGTTTAGCCCTATTCATGTGATGGCTATGTTGGTTTATGCTGTGTTTTCATAGCCTTTCAAGTTCTTCTTTACCCTTTTATTATGTGCTTGGTGTTTGCTTTGCTGTTTTAGGTGTGTTTCTCCTGAGGATTTGGAAGGTTCAAGTTTTATTCAAATGGGTGCCTTTACAACTGTAATTGTACATAATACCCTCAGTCCTCTACCGCCTCACACTGTCTCGCTTTACTCCCTGTTGAAAAATGATAACACAGTACGTTTCCTTTTTCTTTATCCTTCCTCTGTCTCCACATCCAATGTCAAGGGATTTTATATGTCTTTAGTGTTTGCTTTTTTCTTTTTTTTTTTTAATTTTTATTTCTGAGAGAGAGAGAGAGAGAGGGAGACTGAATGAGCTTCGGATCCAAAGCAGGCTCTGTGCTGACAGCAGCGAACCCCATGCAGAGCTTGTATTCATGAACCCCAAGATCATGACCTGAGCTGAAGTCAGATGCTTAACCAACTGAGCCACCCAGGCGCCCCTGGATTTTTTTTATCAGCTTTAAATGAGATATTTCCATCCCTGGCTATAAAAAATTAGGAAATCAATGTGCTTTAAACACCCCTTCCTTTATTTTCCCTTCTTGTCCCAATTTTTGTTAGACCACTTCTACATCACTGGGTCTGTAAAATCATACATTCTGCTCTGGAAGCATCAGCCCCACATTTGTTCTCATCTGGGTCCTCCAGGTAGGTGGACTCAGAATCTCCACCGTGATTTCACCAAAATGTCCCCATCCCTCTCGCCACACACCTATTTTGTGGCATCCCATCCTGTGATCTCATCTTGCGAAGATCTTGCTTTGGTAGTTTTTTCAAACACAATTTATGGAAATGATAGTCTCTGAGTTTCTGGTGTTCAAAAACGTTTGTTGCCTTTATCCTGAAAAAGTTTGGCTGAATATGAAATTCTTGGGCAGTACTTTATTTCTTGAGAAATATGTATATATTGCTCTATCATCTTCTCTGCCACCATGATATCCAAAACCAGCCTGATTTCTTTTTTTTCCTACAAGCGATGTAATTGCCTTGCTGCCCCAAGAATTACCTCTTTGTTTATGAAATCCATGAACTTCACTGTTACACATTTTGGAGCTACCATTGTGGGTCGATAGTTCCAGGGACACAATGAATTGGCTGTGTGGATTCAGCTCACCTTTTTAATCTGGTCATTTTTCTTAAATTCTTTTTTTTTTTCTTTTTTAAGTAATCTCTACATTCAACATGGGGCTGGAACTCACCACCCCAAGATCAAGAGTCGCAATCTCTACCAAAAGAGCCAATCAAGCACCCCATTTCTCTCAAATCTTTAAATATTTGTTCTAATACATTATTTTTGTCTAATTCTAGGGTAAATAAGCTCCCTATTCCCATTGTTCCTAGGAAGGCTTTATATATTCAGGCCCACTCTCACTTTGGTAGTGAACTTGGCCAGCTCTTCCTGAGAGATCTAGTTTTCTCCTGTTTGATTTCAGGTACTTCTGTCTGTCCTTCCCTATTTTTGTATGTTTGTTTGTCTGAGAGACAGAAAGAGAGAGCAGGCAGAGGGAAAGAGAGAGAGAAGGGGCAGAGGGAAAGGAAGAGAGAGAATCTTAGGCAGGTTCCATGCTCTAGGGCGGAGCCCACCAGGGGCCTCCATCTCACAATGGTGAGATCATGATCTGAGCCGAAATCAAGAGTTGGACGCCTAACCAACAGAGCCACCCAGGCACCCCATCCTCCCCTGTTTTACAGTTGGGGATTTCAGGACCTCCAAGCTTCATGAAAGATCGTATTTGTTTGTGTCTCATACTCTTGCTTCCTCAGGTAATTTCTGAAAGAGAAGTAGGAAATTTCAACTGTTTTTCACCGT